GCGCTGTGGGAGTCATCAACTCCTTGAACTCTTACTCTATCCCCTTGTCTTTTCCCCCATTTTACAGACACAGAAGTGGAGGCAGAGAGCAGTGGGGTCATTTCCTGGAGGTCACAGTGCTCAGAAACTAATGAGGCCTGGAATGAGGCAGGATGAGGACTGGAATCCAAGACACTGGCTTCCAAGTTTGTACTCTTAGGAGCCTAGTTACACTGTCTCGAAAGAATACATTATACAAACAGGCATTCCAAAAATCATACATCAGGCTTGAGCCCAAGAATTAAAATAATGGTTTTAGGGATTCCTGAGTGTCTGTGTTGGCAACACGAGGAAGTCGGGCACTTGGCAGCTGGGTCCAGCTCCTGTCGCTTGCTTTGTGAGTTTTCATTAAGTAATTTCAGATTTCATCTTGTAGTGGATTTCTAGCTGGTGGTCCACTTCTTGCACCCAGCTGAATTGAACTAGCGCAGTGCTGGGTGCAGGAGGCCCGCCTGAGGGCTGTTGCCAGCAGCATAGAGGCAGAACAGGAGAAGCTGCCGGAACGCTGTTAGGGACGCTGTCTGGAGAAGCTGTTGGAGCTCTGGAAGCTGCTGGTTCTCTTGGCTGTTCTTCTGGAGGACCTTGTCATGCTGGCTTTCCCGAGGAGCTTTGCAGGAGCTCTGGTCCTCACCTTGAGCATCGCTTCCTGGCTCCAGAGGGGAAGATGGTGCACTGCTCAGCCGCATGGAGAAGCTTGTCACGTTGGCTTTCCTGATGGGAACTCGCTTTCCTCGTTGCTGGCGGAGCTCGGGACCTCACTGTTGCTGAGGAGGGCTGTGGTACCTTTGGGGGAGCTCTGGTGCTTACCTTGAGCGTCGCTTCCTGGCTCAGTGCAGACCCCTCAGCCTGCTGGCAAGGATCCTCCACCCCTCTGGCACAGACTTCCTAGTTTCCATCGCTGACCTTTGGGCCTTCCCAGCACAGATCCATGAAGCAGGATCCAGGCCCTCAGCTAGAATCTTTAGTGGTTATGTGTGTGGACAGATTTCCTGCACTCCTTGTACGTTATTATTTGGGTGATTCCTTATAAACTAATATAAAATGTGTCCTGTATTATATGGTTTCCCTTGCAAAACCCCCAAATCATGACACATCTGTACATCTTTATTATTATTCTTATTTATGTATTTGGCACAGGGTCTCATTACAGCTCTGACTCATCCTGTTTTCAGCCTCCCCAGTGCTGGGATTACAGGCAGGCCCCGCCATGCCCAGTCTCACTTGCCAGCTGAGCGTGCTGGGTGCAGGGCTGCCACAGCATCAGTACCAGGGATTGAACGCTGGGCTCTGCCCTTACCTATGCGGGTGTTTAGTCTGCTGAGCTTTCTTTTGGGGGGAGCAGAACTGGGGATTGAACTCAGGCCCTTGGACTCGCCAGGGAAGTGCTTATTCCACTGAGCTGTCTCCCCGGCCCCCTGCTGAGCTTTCTTGCTTGCTGGTCCTCATCCATAAATCTTTTTAAAAATAATTTTTACCCAAATTTATGAATTTCAACTTATTTATTTATAACTAATTTATGACTAATTTTTACCTTTATAAAAATTATTTAGTACAGGGTCTAGAGAGTCTCACTACATAGATTGGATTCAGTGATTCTCTGTGTTTAGCTTCCCAACTGCTAGGATTATAAGGATGCTCCATCACGCCCAGTCTCAATCCAGTGTCAGCGAGCCCTGGGGGTGGGGCTGGCATGGCACACGGGGATCGAATCCTGGCCCCTGCATCTGCCTAAGCAGGTGCTATAATCTGCTGAGCTATCTGGCTGGCCCTTCATAATCTCATGTGTAATACTGGGGATTGAACTCAGGACTTTGCACTTTCCAGGCAGGCACTTATGCCGCTGAGCTATATCCCTGGCCCTAATTTTTACCTTAATTATGTAGGGTTAGTTTTTGTTTTTTGGTTTTTTGCTCCCCATGAGTTTTGTTTATACCACTGATTTTTCCCTCACGGCTGAGTCATTCAAAATGTTAAAAATTCCTGCTATGGAGGGACCAGGGTATATACCATTTACACCTCTTCGGTCCATGCTGTACCAACCCTCAATAAATGTAGGCTACAGGATTAGTAAGCAGCAGGTGGGCACTGTGAACAGGTGTCACCTAGGTGCCTGTGCCACACCTTGGCTGAGCCACTGATGGAGAAGCAAGACAGTGGCTGGCTTCTCAGTTGCAAAGAGTATGGTGTTTGCAGTCACAGAATGCAAGGAAACTGCTGTTGGACGTGTTTTCCTTGCCAACCTCTAGTCCTAGGAAAGCCTACAGTGTTACTTTTTTTTTTTTTTTAATTTTTTATTTGTGTGTGTGTGTGTGTGTGTGTGTGTGTGTGTGTGTGGCCAGCTCAGCCCACCAGGGGGCGGGGCTGGCTGGCATGTGGTGCTGGGGGATTGAACCGCGGTCCCTGTGCTTTGCTAAGCTTGTTCTGAGTAGGTGCTTTAGACCACTGAGCCATCTCACCAGCCCCTACAGTGTTACTTTGGAGATCAGGTTGAATAAGATCCCGAACCGACTGGGGAGATGGCTCAGTGGAATCAGCGCTTCCATGGCAAGTGCAAGGGCCTGAGTTCAATCCCCGGTTCTGGAAAAAAAAAAAAAAAAAGATCCCGAACCAACTAAATGCCACTTTAGGGAAGATGTGGAATATTAAAAGAAATCAAGGGCTGGTGAGATGGCTCAGTGGTCTGAAGCACCTACTTAGAACAAGCTTAGCAAAGCACAGGGACTGCGGTTTAATCCCCCAGTGCCACATGCCAGCCCGCCCCGCCCCCTGGTGGGCTGAGCTGGCCACACACACACACACACACACACACACAAATAAATAAATTTAAAAAAAAATAAAAAAAAAAAGAAATCAAGCCAATGAGATGACAGACATAATTTTGTTTAAACAACTGCGAAGCTCTGTGCAAATGATTTTTCTTTTAAAAAAGTTCTTCCGAAAGGCTTAGTCTTCTTAGGCTCTTGCTTAGATTTGTATATGGACCCTGCTGCCCTTGGCCTTGCAAAAGCCCATCCTTCTGATCACTGCAGAACCCAGAATTGTGTTCAAGCACTGGGGACTGCTCTTGGCATCGAGCCTGCTGAGCAGCTGCACCTGGACTGCCCGACCCCACGCTGGGCCCTGCCAGGAGCCACCCTGTATGCCCACCGCACAGCCAGGTTCCCGTCCTTTGGGCTCTCCACTCCTGCTCTCAGAAAGTTCTGTCCCTTCCCCTAATGCACTACTGCCCGGTGCAGCTTTCCAGACACAAGTCCTGCTTTCCTGGTGCAGAGAGGCCCAGCCCCAAACAGCAAGGTCCCAGCCTCGGTGCTGCCTAGGAAGACACCAGCCCCACAGAGGTCCCAGTGGTCGCTGTTCCGCTCAGCTGTCCTCTCTTGGGGATAGTGAGGGTTGGGGGCACATCTGTAGCCACGTTACCCATGCATGACAGGAACAGCCAAGCAGTGCTGGTGGCAGTGTGGTCAGCCACAGCGCAGCGGGGGAGAATGCACCTATTAGCTTGGAGCATGGAAGTTTTTCTCCCAACAAAAATTGGCATCTTCACACGGCCCAGGCCAAGCTGTGCACATCTTCCCTGCACCCTGGAAGGGGCCTCGCTGCGATTCTGCACACTCAGTGCCTGGCCAGCACTCCTGCACGCACATGTTCAGCAAGGATCAACTCTCACAGCTGATGTCTGGGTTTACCCTTCGGGACAGAAATCTGAATCCCAACGATCCTTCCCCTTTTAGCAGGCTACGCCCAGGTGTGACTGGAATTGGAGCAGGAGAAGTTGTAGGATATGGGGCGAGGTGGCAGTCAGAACTCAGGGACCCTGGAAGCTGGGCCACGGGCCCTGCCTCACCGACCCTTGTCGTGCGGCATGACCTCCTTGCACGGCTGTGTTGCCTGCCCTGCGCAGACCAGAGCCCAGCAGAGCAGGGCAGGTCTGCAGCGACAACGGGCAGCCCTAGGTGTGCTGCTACAGCTCCCAGCCGGGGTCTCGGGCCCACCCAAGGCCAGACCCAGCGTGGCCTTTCGGTCCCTGGAAACAGGCCAGGCCCAATGCACGTTTTCCAAGCACTGACCGAAGAGGAGCTCTGGGGCTCCAGGCTACCTTCTGCTGGGGTGACTCCCTAGGGAGCCAGTCTTCGAGATCTGGGACACTGAGAGCTGGAGCGGAAAGGCCCACATGTCCTTCTGGGGCTTGCAGTCCAGCCCGGCAAGTGCTGGGTTACAGAACAGAGAGGCTGGCCAGGGCACAGGCGTGGCCCAGCCCTGAAGCTCCGTCAGCTTCTCCTCAGTGTCCTACGCCTTAGGCCACTAGGCCACCTCTGCGTGACACAGAGGCAAACTGAGTGAGGGTTTGGAATACAGCCCCGCTCTGTGACTGTCAGCGCAAGAGGCCAAACCTGGGCTCTACCTCTGACGCTACCACGGGCCTGGTGCTTGTCCCGGGGTGACAGCCTCTTACCCCTAGTTAGTGGGAAGGATTGCTCCATGCCGCCTCCCACTGCCAGGACCCCTCAGCACAGCCCTGGCCTTGAAGAGCCCTGCCTGAGGCCAGGGCCAGAGGACAGTCCCAGGCCACACAAACCTGGTGCAGCAGCTGGGAAGGGCCACACTGC